GTTGCTGTAGCGGTTGCAGCACTGCTGGGCTGCGCAGGACTTCAGCATCTTGGAATGACAGCGAGACTGTAACTATGGAAGTAGAGTAGGCCTTCCCTTTCTCCCATGGAGCGGCTGGTGGCTTCAAACTGCTGACCTTGTGTTTAAAAACCTAATGCATAACCCACTACACAACCAGGGCTCTTAAGGTGTCTCTGGGTAGACTCAAAACGGCTGAAGTTAGCGGCTAAAGTTGCTAACATTTGTACCACAAGCTTTCTAGTGCTTGCTACTACAGCCTGAAAAAGAAAGTGCATTACAAGTAATAAGAATGTGACTTATAAGTGCTATTGTTAGACATTCGTAGTTTATCTAGTGCAAGAGCTGCTTTCTGAAGTGATAAAGAACTTGGAAAAGGTCAAAGGAGGGTAACGGAAATAATTAAAGAGAAGAAAGTGAGATTCACAGTGAAAACTTTATAAAGAACTTGCAGTTATTTAGTGTAGGAAAGGTTATTTAATAGCAACCTTGAAGTACATGAAAGGATTTTTATAAAGAAAAGGCAGAACTTTTCTTTTTACCTTTCTTCTACTACAGAAAAGAGAGAGAAAATGGACAGGTTTTAGAGCATAAAGGATTAGGTTAGTGTAGGGAAAGAGAAAACCCTAACATGGAGTCTTGTTAGAACACCAAAATGGGAGAGGCAGAAAAAAGTTCTTGGCTACTTTAAAACAAAAACAAAACACCACTTAATTCTGAAATAATGCAGGCTTATAGAAAGTTGCAAAATTAATACTGTGCGTCTCCAACTAAAGGACAGCTTGTACTGGTGACATTCCCTCACTTTGAAGTGACTGAACCTCGTCCTACCAAAACCAAACACACTGACTGACACACAATGGCCCCACAGAACAGAGCAGACTTGTTCCATGGGGTTTCCAAGGCTGTAAATCTTCAGTCGCGGGCTGCCACTGCTTTCTTCCGTGAGTCAGTTAGTGTGTTCAAAGTACTGACCTTTAGCCACAAATTTACCAGGGCTCTTGAACTAAGTCCTTCCAACAAATTCTTTATCTCAATCACCTTCACGTGCTGCGCGGACAGCTTTTAAATCATTTTCCTGCGCTAACGTAAGGCTGAATAGGAACTGAATGCACCTGTTCTGACTTACTTCCAAATCTGGCTTAAAGGCACACTTACCAACAGATCTCTTTTGTGTCCAGAGAGCGCTTGTATAAATAATTCCCTTACCCAAATGCTTCAGATGTTAACATATCAACACATTTGCTTTATCATTCTCTCTGTACATAGTTTTTTTCTGAACTTCTTGAGCTACATGACCCGGTCCCTTTCAGCCCCTTCATATTTCAGTATGTACTTCCTAAAAAAGAACCATTTGTTGATGAAACTTAGCAAGTTACAGAATTGGGAAATGAACACTGACACAATGCTATTATTTAATTTACAAAATTTATTCAAATTTCCAGTGGTCCCAGTAATGTCCTCTCTCTGTGACTCTTATGTATCTATCTATATATGACACAACTGGGATATACATATCAAATTATATATACTGTATCTACATATATATTCATTACTGGGACAATATGTATACATACACATACACACATATATACATATACCCACATATTTAGATGGTAGGGGATGTCAAAATTTGTGGGAAAATACAGTTAAAAGATAAAAGACTCATACTGCACACAGTTGTTGTGTTTCTTAATCTCATTTACTCTGAAAGTTTTGTCTCTAGGTCTTATGGTCTTGCTGTTTTTAAAAACAGTCCAGTCTCTTTGTAGCCAGTCCTTAGTTTGGGTCTCTAATTTTCCCTCTGAGTTCTTCCACCCAGATTAATATCCTAACTCCCCTCTACACTTCCTGTCTAGTTTTTCTAATTGCTGTTATCAACTGGAAACCATATTTAGGGGATATATTGTTGTCAGGTGCCATCGAGATATAGGGGGCATAGAAGTACATACTAATTAATTAACCATCAAATTTGTCTCACAATATTACACAAATCAAAAACAGATAGTGATTTGTTTGGGGAGTTTTAGGCGCGATTCTGAATGAAGCGATTATTAGATGCCTGTGGAGTCGAATTTGTCTCATAGTGGCCCCACGTGACAGGGCTGAATTGTCCCATAGGAATTTCTAGGCTGCATTCTACTCCACAGAACTTAACAACAATCTTTGCTAAGCAAACTGGCTAGGTTTTTCCCTCAGAGCCACGGGATGGGTTCAAATTCTGATCTTGGGTTACCAGCGGAGCACTAATGGCTGCGCCACCAGGCCGCCTGTAGAATGAAACCACGCGTTAAACAAGTTTCCCTGCTTCGGGCTTTTCTTAGGCAGGTCCTACTGATTAGTCTTACAATCTTAGAATTATTTATAGACGTAGCACAGGCATTAAAACGTTTTTTCTATTCAGAACCGACCTGTTTGTATTTTTCCTCGAGGATATCTGCATTTTACAAGTTTAAGTTAACAAAAACACGTTTGCTCAAGATATCCTTCTAGGATATCTGCATTTTACAAGTTTAATTTAACAAAAACACGTTTGCTCAAGAATTAGCGCGTACTCGTTTCAAACTGTTTTGAGATTTAAAAGACGTGTTGACTCCCTTTTTCAGAATCTCACCTTTGCAGCCTTGACCTATGCCCTAGGCTTAAAAGACAAAGAGCTGTAAAGATGGGTGGGTGTTACTCATTAAAATCATTCAGCAAATATTTGTTAAGTGCCTAGTATACGCCGGGCTCGGTTCCAAGCCCTGGGAATATATCAGAGAGCAGAGCAGAGCAAACCAAAACAAAAATTCCTGTGGGGGATTCTAGTTGGACAAATTTAAATGTATATTAAAAAAAAATCATCAGAACCCTAGAATCCCACTTCCTTACATAGAAAGCACGTCTTTGGGACTCGCGATTTCAATCTGGGCTAACACTTTGGAATCCCTGGCAAGCGCGCTGATAATGAATTTTCCGGCTTATCCAAAGGCGCATACGAAAGATTAATCGGAACACCAAAGGTCTGAAAACATGGGCGGGGCCGAGCTTTGGGGGCGGCGCCCACCCACTTTCTCCGTCTGTAGCGCCCGGCGTCCAACCCCGCGCCGCAGCGCCGAGTCCCCGCCGCCCCCGCCAGCGGGCAGGTAGCTCGCGGGAGCAGGCTCCTCTGCGCGGCCTCGCCCACAGCAAAGCGAGCTGGGTGGTTTTTCCAGGTCCCTCCCAGCCCCGGTCCACGCCCAGTCCCTGCCCCCGCGGCGCCCGAGGGACCGGGGTGGTGGCGCTGGGAAGCGCAGGCTGGGCGCGGCTCAGCAGCGCGCCAGCGGGGAGGGATTGCGGGTGCCCCGTTCCTACGCCGCGCGCCCAAGTTCCGGACGGGAAGCTCGCGCCCCGACCACTCCAGCCCCAAGCGGGCGGCGCTCTCGCGGGAGCTCGCTGACCTTCCAGTCTGGGATCCGGTCCCCGGGTCCCCCACCCTCACTCTGGGTAGGCGGGCTGCTACCTGCGCCGCCGGCGACCCCGCCTCCGCCCGCGCCCACTTCTAGGGAAAGGCGCGGACGCGGCCTTGGAACCACCTTCCCCTGCCGGGGCCTCGGCGCCTTGCCCACTGCGCCGCCCCCCCCCCAGTGGCGGCCCGAAAAGCTACCCGCAGACTCGTTCTCTCCGTGATCGGTGTGCGGCTGCTTGAGTTCACCAGATGAATCCGGAGCTCTGGACACCTGAAGCCGAGAATTAGTATCTTGTTCCCTAGATGGGTTTGAAATCTCAAAGTGGAGCCAGCTTCCCTTGTGGCGCCTCCCTCTCTAAAATGTCATCAGGACCCACCGCGCGGCTGTCAGTCTCGGTGGCCGCCGCGCAGAGCCGGTGGGGCCAGTGGGTGGAGAACGAGGCTAAGTGCGCACGGGAGGCGGGGAGGAGGGGGCAGTGGAGCAGAGACATTCTTTTTAGGACCCCCCCTGCCCTAGTTTCCAGTCTCCAAGAACAGCCGGGACTGGATGAGACACAGCCATGGCGGAGAGTCGGGATCAAAGGGGCTCTGGGCTCCATGGGGCCGAGGGCCTTCGGGCCATGAGCAGCGCCGCGGGGACAGGGCACGCGCCCGGGGCCGTCCGGAGGGCCCGCCTGCTGTTTGTCCTGAGAGGTGTGTTGGGCTCGGGAGCGGCTTTTCCGGTACAGGGCAATTGCCCCCGCCACCTCCGGCTGCCACAGGCCGGTGCCTTCCTCCTCCAGTAGCTCGCCTTCCCAGTGGCCGCGACCCGGTCAGCTTTCTGCTCTGGCCTCCCTTGGCCTCTGTGTGCCCGGCCTGCGGGCGACCCTTTCGAACCACCTGTTGGCTCCCTTCAAGGGCGACCACCCCTTTCCGGGAGCCTCCAGACCTAGCCCCTCAGTTCCTGGACCCCCTCCGCCCCTTCCTCGCCTGGCCTCAGCTACCCTCTGGGTGGCCACCGCCCGTTCCCCGCCCTCCCGTCTCTCCTTCCTCTTCCCCCACCCCTCCCGAGCCGCCCTCCCCTCTCCATTCATCGAGCCATTGTCTCCCGCCCCCACCTCCCCCTTTCCCAAGAGGCCTCCTCCCCCCGGGCTGCCACGTCGTGGTTCGAAGGAGCCAATGGGCCGGCGCCGCCAGGTGTCTCTTACCTGCACCACGTGGGGGAGGGGGCGGGCAGGTAGAGCCATATCCCAAAACAGAAAAGCTTTCAGCCATTGCGCGCGCCTCCAGGAGGTGCAGCCAGGCTCCCGGCTTTTAGCGTAGACGCGCAGGCAATTGAACACAGAAAGGGAAGGCCTCCTGCGTCCTCCTTCCCACCCCCCTTCCTGCCCTGGGTGTGGAGCACGGGCCAGGTGTGGGCTTGGGTGGTTGGTTACCGCCTTTTTGCACCAGCGGCGGCGAGGGGGGTGGGGGGGTGGGCGCGCTTTCTTTTCTCTGCAAAGAGCTTGAGCTCCGGTTCTTTAGTTTTCGCTTCCACCCCACCTCACCGCCTCCCGACCCCCCTCCTCCTCCTCCCCCTCCCCACCTCTCGTCATGACGGCGTCTCCGGATTACTTGGTGGTGCTTTTTGGGGTCACTGCTGGGGCCACTGGGGCCAAACTGGGCTCGGATGAGAAGGAACTGATCCTGCTGGTATGGAAAGTGGTGGATCTGGCTAACAAGAAGGTATTCCCTCCACGTTTTCTTGTCTGGTTGGTTGGTTGCAAGGCATGGGGCGAGAAGTTTGTTGTGGAAGTTTGGGGGGAGGAGGTGTCGGTAAACAAGTGCCCGCTTGCTCACTCTGGGGAGGCCGGACCCGAGGCCTAGGGCATCCCGAGTAAAACCAAACTTGTGGGCCAGCCGCTCTGAAGCCATTTCTGACCTCCGAAATCTGACTCAGGTGGGAGGGCGGCGCCGCGGAGCCAGGTATTTTGCCCATCCGGGGACGCGAAGCTGAGCCAGGGTGGGTTCAAGTGGGTCCCAGCACCCACTTGAAGGGCCTTTACGACTTGATCCGGGTGGGGGTGGGGCGGGGGCCGAGGCGCCGGCTGGAGCACCTGGATTCGGCTGCCGCACCAACCCTCCGCGAGGCGCGGGCCGGCCGGGCAGGGGAACGGAGCAAGAGGGCGCAGGAGGGAGGCGCCCGAATTAATTGAGGGGTAACTGACTTCTGCTCGCCCTGGAGGTCGGACAGTTGCACGAAGTACTAGTTAGACCGGATCAGTTGGAACTGACGGAGGATTGCAAAGAAGAAACCAAGATCGACGCCGAGAGCCTGCCCTCCGCGCCGCAGCTGGACCAAGCCCTCCGACAGGTGACAGCCTCGGGCTACGCCGCCTACCCGCACCGGCGCAGGGCGGGCGGACGCCCTCCCCACTCTGCCCAGCCCCACCAGGTCCCACACCATCACGGGGCGTCCACGCACACCTCCCGGGGCGGAGGGTGGCGACACGCCGGGCGCGTGGGTGGGAACTTT